TGTGAAATGTGAATGAAGTCCTCCATTACAATAGCTGCCAGTTCCGTCTGCAAGCACGAAATTCTTACGGATCGACTCAACAAAATACAGCTGCGTACAGTCTGATGTTCAATTAATTTCTTCTTCTGTAGTAAACAAACCATGAACGTATTCTTTCATTGTACGTTCGCATGAATAAATGTTGACTTTTCCTGTAAAACAGCTTTCATAAGTTATCATGTAATGAGTGCAAAAACTCGTGTTTTGAAGTGCTGCCGTTTGTTGTTTGACTGAACTGAGTTTTGAGAAAGTTCAGCGCTATTAAATCGTGAGTCATGATTGGCTTATGATGACTTTAGAGAGAAGACATGACTTGATCACGGTACTAAAACCATATTTTTTACCTAAAAGACTCCACTCTACCAAAAGTTATTTTATAAAAGCAATAGACCATACTTTCTATGGGTTTACCGGCGGGATAACCCACGCGGGATGTTGGGAGAACCCGAGGAAAGCTTGTAAATCACGAGCCGAAGGCGAGTGATTTACAAGCTTTTCGAGTAAGAAAAGAAAACCCATAGAAAGTGTGGTCTATTGCTTAATTAAACTAGCTCTGCTAAATTGGATGCCCTTGGATAAATATTGAATTAAAATTAAAAAAAATAAAATGGCGGCTACAACAACATTACGAACACGATCAAAGTTTCGCCCACCCAAAATACGCCTGCACTGCAGGCTACTTCTTTCCAAGGGTTTTTTAAAGTCATTTTTTGAGCAGAGGATTTTCCTCATACTTGTTTACACTCTTAATCACCTGCTTAAAGTTAAGATTGACTGTACATAAGCGGTCTATAAGCAAAAAATTCAAAAAGCTTGCGCTAAGATGTTGTGCTTAACTTTTGTGAGTTTAAGAATGATAAACTATCAAAATAGGTTCAGTTTCTTCTCATTTTTCCTTCAGGAGAGCTCATCATCGGCTGTAAAGCTAAATGTAACAATCTAAAGCAGTTTTGTCATGCGAGTGAAATTGAACTATCTATGACCACAACGGGAGATCGTTTCAAAATTTAAAATAACTTAGATCAAAGTTGATCAAAGTTGGGTAAAGCTAAGGCACTAAATAATAACCTCGATCAGCAGAGCACTGTCCAAAAACATCAAAATACTATGATATATATAGTCCCTTTACAGTGCGGCTACTCGAATCGGGGCACGTCGAAGAAGATTATCTAATCACAAGTTTTTTTAAAACAAAAGATGCTCAGACAAGTTTTTTTTACCAAAAAAAAAAAAGAAACGGACAAACAACTTTCATGAATTTGAGGGCCGTTTCCTGAGAGGTCAGGTAAGTTTAAACACTTTTAAAGTTTTCAACGGTTGCATAGCTGAACCTTGAATTTTATTGGTCCTTTTTGCACAAAAAAAACTGAGAACCTTTTGTTTTCAAAAAACGTTGTGATGCATAATCTTGTTCCAAGTACCTCGGTTCTAGGAGTAGCACTGTAACAGTAAAAAACGACGGTTTGGGGAAAAATTGAACCAGCTGTCAACAAATTTCAAAGATTTATTTCCAAAATTGAACGCTTCCTGATCATATATATAGAGGATATTACACGGTAGCGCGAAGATATGAATTTTATTTTCGAGTGGCAAAACAACATTTTACGAACGAGCGCAGCGAGTAAAATATTGCTTTTTGCCACGAGAAAATAAAATTCATATCTTCAAGCCGCCGTGTAATGTTCTTTTTATTACATAGACAAAAAGACATCGACAAAATAATAGAGGGAAATGACCGAAATTACGTCATCGATAAACTCACGTCTGAGATTATGAAAAATAAACCACTTGGGTCCCGGATGTAGTTTTTATGAATTTCACGAGTGGTATATTTTCCAGTAAAGCACTCGTGTCTATATAATAAATATATTCATTATTCATTCAAAATATTTCCCCGATTCTGATTGGCCAAAAGCACACGTTTAATTCACCATAACCAGTTACTGATGACCAAATTTGGAAGAAATTTGACTTTAACGAGGAAATGACGTCGAAAATGCAGCGTTTTCGCAGGTTAAGGCACCGTTAACCGAGAAGACTTGGGGACGAGCTTGAGTTGTTTTGGTTGTGAACTTGACAAAATGGCGGACATTTCACTCGTTTCAAGAGTAAGGACTAGGCGAAAAAATAGCTAAAAACATGGCAAGAACAGCAAGAAGACAGCTCGAAGGGCGACATCTGCTATTTGGAGAATATTTGCGGAGCTGGACAAACCTAAACGTGCACTATCGAAGATGAACTGAACGTCGAAGGATCGATGGAGGTAAGCATATTTTAGCTCTGTTTTTAAACTAGGAATTATTTTGAATGAATAATAAAACAGTTATTGAATTTGGCTTTCGTATCATATGAAGAATTATGGAGATCTCGGAGGGTGTTATCCGCCTCGGCCTACGGCACAGTATATAAGTATATACATTACAAACGCAGTGTTAGTAAATTGAACACACTCAAATCGTAACAATGTTACAAAAATGTATACGGCTTAAATCTGGATTGATTATTTGGAAATACCTATAGTCTGTTGAAAAATACTTTAAAATAGGTAATATCCGGCTAAACTTGTAAAAGTTTAATTGAACAGACCTTTGGAGATGCTTGTTAAATCTGGTCAATTTTACAAGCTTTCAACCAGAATCACTCTTGAATCACTCTTAAACAAACGTTCACACATATCGTCGACGACAAACTTTGCCAACAGCTTATTTAGTTAAATATATTGGTTCCTTGAAATTGCTATTTTTGTCATGATCATTTTTGACAGAAAGGTGCAAAATTTTCAGTTACACTTACTCGAAATCAGTGACTTAAAAGACCTACGGATACACGCTCAAGAAACCCCTGAATTTTATCAATCGAAAGAAACAAATTTAAGTTATGCGTACAATTATTCACACCTGCCATAATAAGGCGGGAAGTACTAAAAAAACCCCTTAGTTTGCTTATCCATTCCCCTGCCGTAGTAGATGTACATGGGGAAGGGTGCATGGTATTTGCATTACCTAATGTAATACAGTGGATGCACTCCTAATGGACACTTTCGTAAGCGGACAGCTCTACTTAAGAACCCCTTCAAAAAACCCTGTTTTTCTCAACTCCCATACAAACTCTGTATTTTTGCATTCCTGTAAGCGGTCAGTTCTAGTTACGGACACATTTTTCGCGTCCAGAGGGTGTCCGCTAACGAGAGCTTCCACTCCAGTATTTTGCACTCGCAAAGACTAAACGTGTAATAGATAACCCGCTACAAATTAAGGAGGTATTGCGGTTGTTTTTTGGAGGGTTAAGGGAATGATGTTGATTTGAGAAGGAAATTTTATTCATGAGTGTAGATGTCAAAACCTAAACACACGAAAGAGCACATCAAGAAGGATTCTATCACTCGATATTCAGTTTCATAAACATGCCAAAAACCTACGATTATGAGCGTAATTTGTCATCGATGATATTAATAATAGGTAATTAAATGGTTTACTCGTGAAATTAGGGAATAATATATAATTTCACCTGCGTTTTGTCCAAATCCTGACAATTTCTCTTGCCTCGATTATTCCCTAATTTCACTTGTAAGCTGGCTGGTAAAATTATTCCCTAATTTCAAGAATAAACCATTTGATTAGACATAACTACATTAATTTCAATTTAATTTTCAACAAATCACATGTTTTCCTTACGCAATTTTAAATATCCCTCTTTCATTTATTATTCATTTTATTATTAATTCTATTTGACCATTTGAAAATTTTTCGAAAAGAATTCTCACCTATTTATTGGACCATTGACTACGAACTTATGGAGCCATTTTTGGATTGAATGAAATCTTTGCTAGATTTGAAAGAAAAAGGGCAGAATTCAAAGTAATGGAAAACAATAGGTTTTTTACCGGAAGCACTCCTTAAGTATTATACAGAAGATGTCGCTGCAGAGGACCTGTGGAGTCATCTTGATCACCAAGACTCTGCTAAGAACAGGAACCCATCAAATGGCTAAGAACTAATTTTACTTATGACATCATGTCTCGTCACTACAGCAACTGACAGTAATTACATTTTGCAAAATTGAGTCTAAGGAATAGACGAAGAGCCACTAAGGAGACTCAAGAGGCTTTGGTTGAAAATCGCTCTGAAATAATCTGAGAAAAACCTTACGAAGGGCGACAAACACTCCCCTTACCACTGGATGGATTTTACTTACATTCTTGTTTTAGTGTTTAGGCTGCTGCGGATCAAGTGCCCCAAACGGAAGGTTTTCAAAGTTGTCGAGAGTCCTCCAAATCTCTCGAGTTTTCTTCAAGAGGGAATTAAGACTTGAATCCCGGCAACGAAGGTCACCGTGTTGCACAGCTCTTAGCTCATAGTTAGATTTATATACGAAGCCTGGCGATCTATTCTCATCTTCGGTCATCACGATTAGAAGTTTGTTTACAGTTGGATCTTTGAAGATGATGGTAGGATGTAAACCCTGTTTGTATTTCTCGTCAACCCAATTTTCTCTGTCACTGTTTTCTTCTGTAGTCACGTTAAACCACTCGTAGCTCTGCTTCCGGCCTGGTGTTTCTGTCATCACAACAAAGTACTGCTTCAGGCCAATTGAGTAGCATATTCCAGTGATTGCCTTTCCGTCTTTGTAGCCCTCTTGTATATCATCATCCAATTGTTTCCATTCTTCACAAACGAACCACTTTTGCCCTTTTCCATGGTACTCCTTTGTGTCCTTTGTCATGATGATGTAAAATGTAGATTTTCGTGCAGCACACGCAGTAATCTGAAGGCCTTCGCGCAAATTTTTCTCGATCTTTGCAGTGCCGCTTAAAATGGTTTGATTAGTGCCATAGTTTTCCATCAAGTATACCCCGAATCCGAACTTCTCATCGCAAGAGAGGGAATATATCACTTTTGACTTTCCATTCACCCATTTCCATTCTTCTTCAACAAATTCCACAAAAGAATCATAACTTCTTCTTATTCCCCATTTGTGGGCAGGCCTTGGACTGTAGAGTTTTGACGATGCAAAAATGGCAGAGAATTTCCCATCATGCATGTTTGGGATATCACTAAGTTGTCAATGTTTGTAATGTGGCCTTGAATGAAGTCAGTGTAATCGACGGTATTGTATTCACTGGTAACTGGAAATTCAAGCCTATTTCCACCACTATACATGGGTTCGGTTTCTGGGCGTTGCATTTTTCCAGTCACAAACAGCGTTAATTCACCACCTTCACCTGAATATAAATTAACCCAAAATAAAAATCACTCAACACATTCACATAGGTTTACTTTTCAAATATCTGCAGTTGGTTCCAGTTCCTTTTTTAAAATAAATGACGTCAAAATGACATCACACTATCACAAAATATTTAGAATTTTTTGCTTTGTAGTTACCATGATATGTAAATAAATACATGTTACTTGGTGTTCTGCCAATAAATACAATGTTGTGACGTAATAACGTAGTTCAACTACCTCACTGCGCCAATCAGGTTATGCCTAGAAATTGGAAATGATGAGTGCATTATCATGTGTAGTTTTGCTGGCTTTAAAGCCCCGTCTGAATAGCATTTAGTCCAAGAAAATATAAGAGACAATCTCATATAGGCTATCTGCGCAAAGCCTTCATGGTGGAGCACGATAAAAACTATGTAAAGGGAACTGTCAGAGTCATTGAAGGCTCATGTGTAAATGCTCACCGTTTTATAACAACGACAACTTTGTCAACGAACCTTTATTTTTAACCGCATATTCTACTTAAATGGAAGAAGTGAAAAAAGTTTAAAATGGAAAAAGTTTCCCTTTGCAAGAATTTCAAAAACAAATTTGAGGTAAAAGTGTTAATTCTCTGAAAATGCAAAACAAAAGCTTTAAAAAGGTGTATATGAAAGGTTAGTCCCTACTTAGAGATGCTGAAATTAAGTGAAAGAATATTAATACACGTAAGTACTCTGTGAAACATACCGGTATCAAGAGCTGTTGAATATTCTGGACATGCTGCTAGGCAATTGAAACCAGTAATACTTTTCTTAAGACAGAAATTTGCCCAGTGGCCACTGTAACAAGCATCGCTGAAGATCATTGGGTAACACCAACCTTTTGGTACCATGTCAAAAATTTCTTGGATACTGATTGTCCCATCAGAAAAGCACCAGTTACCAGTAGCAGTTTCACCGTGGCCAGAATAGTACAACATGGGTTTGGTCCCTTTATTGTTGCACTCTTCAAAAAATTCGGTGATATGTTTCATGCATGTATCTTTGGTCATATGAAGATCCCTGACCGTGTTGAACAGCTCATGGTCAGCGTTGACTTCCAGAATTGTGTTTTCCATGTTGACTAAATCGTGAGTGATACCAACAAGGAAATTACCGTTTCTTAAGCCACGACCTTTTCTACTAGATATTCCAATGTGTTCAGGAGGATCACAAGCACCTGAGAGTAGTAACCAAACTGGCTGCTTAGCGGTCGGATTCCACTCTGACCACTTATCGAGTCGGCCAACATTTGGTCCCTGTTTAATTGCAGAGCCAGCAAAATGAGACATGCTCCTGAAAAGAAATATTATAATTTCAGGAGACGCTAATGACGCGCTAGAGGCATCATGTAGATAAAAGACCTCAATGTAATAACCAACCCTTATAATATTTGCCCTTTAAAATGAATATAATGTAATATCATGAAATAATTTTGAAAAAGGCTTAAAGTTTTAATACAACCGCGATATCATTATCCCTGTCAAAGAATTCCCTAGGTTTATCAAAAAAGCTTGGATATTTCGTAAGAGAAGTAATTTTAAGAATGACTTCACCGAAATTATTAGAGAAGGCACATGGTACGTTTCTGGAGAAGTTAAATTAAGGGGGTGTTTACATGAAACCGGGGCGACTTTCTTCCCGGAGCGAGTTCACTCCGGTTCCCTCTCGTGGCTCTACATTTGTCTACATGATACCACCACAAAATGTTGTGCCGGCGCGAATCATCCCGGCGTGAGTTCACCCCGGTTCTCGTACCGGGGCGAGAATTTCACTCCGGTACGAAATCTCGCAATGGTATCATGTAAACGCGAAACGACCAGCCGTTTCGGTGTGAAATCGGTCTGCCGATAGACTGGAACGGGTAGCGTATGCGTAATGTTTGCCATTTTGAACCACACGTGTATTTTAGCAACATGAAATGTACCTTTAAATAACAAGATATGAAATGACCCAGTCATCATGTAAACACGATACGAAATCAAAAGGTCATCCCAGTGTGAAACTCGCGCCGGTGAGAGTTTTCTCATGTAAACACCTCCTAAGTTGATTCTTAGCTTGAGAAAACAGTTAACATTTCGCGACGTTACCACTGATTTCCCTGAGAAACAAGCGCAGAAATTTCATGCTGATGTCGCGTCACTACCCTGATCAGGGTAGTGCTCCTGATTGTAGTGCTCCTCATCGGGTCAGCGGTCAGCGATGATGATGGCCGCGTTTTTTGAAGCTGTTATTTGTTGCCTTTTTGTGTCTTCAAAAATAAATACTTTAGTTTGTGTTTTAATGAATAACAAAACTACAAAAGAATAAAGTCAATCTTGTTAAAGGGCCATGATTAGTTTTACTATAATGTGCCCTTCTCCATTCTAATTTTCTTCTTTTATTATTTATTATTATGTACAGGTAGTTTAAGCAACTTTGTACCAATTATATTGTACAACTAATGTATTATTGATATTGTCCAACTATTGTATTATTGTAAAACTAATGTATTATAGGATGGAGTAAAAATAAAATACAAAATACAAAAAATTGTTGCAGCAAATATCCCACTCGGCACGACTAATCAGAACCACTACCCACATCGATCTCGGTAATGACTCGTCATCAGTGTGTAATAGGCCATTTGCACTATGAGAAGCCTTGTGACATCGTTTTTATGAAAATGAAAGTTACATTATTCTACGTTCGGAAAACGATAAGTGGGTTATACTTAAAAGGAAATAATTAAAGTGATTTGGTTTTTCAAACCTGCACCATTTTCTTAAAATGAGTACCTTCGTTGCTGGTCACGTGATCAAATGTGATTTTAAAAAAAAAAAAATTATGAATTACCTCTTTCTGAACACAAATTTCGCACTTAAACTTCAAGGGAAATGTTGAAAAGATAATGTGGTAACGTTTACAGCACATCTGAGCGTAGCTATTAAACATTTGACGATACAAGCAAAAAGTAGTTTGGCAGCCATGTTGGAGGGCAAGAGTATGCCCTCCAACAAGGCGGCCAATGCAAATCATACTACTTTGTTAAAAAATCAAAGTGCCATGAAAGATTTCCCTTAAATATGTTTTCTCTCGAATTTGAGGTGTAAGATAATTCATATGTGCTCAGTCAATTTTTGGCATCAGCAAGATTCTAACTCATTGTTTATAGGAAGAATTGGTCACGTGATCTCTTAATGTAGGTGGTCTATTTCATCGCTTGTTTGTTAGACGTCATTTCGCGGGGAAACCAAAGGTGGCGTCGTGATATGTCGTCTGTTCTCTCAGGCTAGTTAGTTTTAGAAAAAAAAAATTGTTAATTGTTTCATCCTTTTTATCGGTGTCAAAAACATGCCAACACTTCCACAAGTAAGCCTTCGCAAGTTATAGAATTCTTGTCCTAATTGCTGCACAAATAAAAAATGGATTCAACTGCCAAGCTTCCTCAGAAAAAGCCTTGATAAAATTCTTGAGGTCATGTTCAAAATATGAAAGTAAGCGATTTCTAGGTCACAAACAGGGAACCATAAAGAAAGGATTAGTCAAAAACAAAAAAACAGCACCGGCAAAGTTATGATATCATTTGTCAAACAAATGAACCCACAGACGAGTTATCACTTGACTGAGTTTTAACAACCTGCTTGTGACGTCATTTCCTTGACTAAATTATTGAATCTCCCTGTTTACCCGCATGGTTGTTTATTGTAAGGACTTACGCACGTTTGTTTTGTTGTTAGTGAAATTATTTCCCTTTCCAATTCTCTTCAAGTTTTAGATGAAGCTTAAGACACTGAGGGGACGAATGGAGACGGCATTGTCTTTCCGACGCAAGATGAAGAGCTACATATGTTGGTTTTTGCTACGTGTAATGATTGTGTTCGGTATAGGATGTTTATGTCTAGCTAGGCATGACAAATCAGCCCTTTCTCAATATTGTTACAGGTTCTATACCCTCTGTCAGCCCCAGAGGTACAGAACTCCAGAAGGTTTGTGTTCTGGAGTCTAGGCATAGGATCCAGCAGTAATCAAATGTCTTTTTAAAAAAGAGTTTTGACTAAAAAACAACCACTCAGTAAAGAAAGAAACAGCCATATTGAAGTAAAGACTATGCGCGGTTTCTTAACAACAAACCCTGAAAAATTCATATATTTTTTTTTTTGGTAAACGTGCAGAGAAAACATTGCCTGCTTGCATCATAATTTGACTGACATGCAAATATTATCACTGGCAAACACAAGGAAAAAGAACAAAACAACCTAGCTTCGCTATATCTCCTTTAAGGTAGCTCATCATAACAATGCATTCTTATGTGGCGGAGTAGTTCAAACGGAAAATGAAGTAGAGTTGGACGTATTTGTTAATTTGCAGCTTCTTGTAAAACATCCTAATGAACTTCTAGATTGTATGGAGCAATAATTAAAGCTAAGGATGGCTAGTGTGATATTTACCTCGCCGCTTTGCGGCCTCGGTAAATATACTCACCACTAGCCACCTCCACTTCGGTGAATAATTGTTATATATTTAAAGAAAAATCTGTACTCTCGGAAACGTACGTACGGGGGGGAGGTTGTTGCCACCTCCCGGAAGTTTTTCTCAATTTTTCTTAGAGGATAAAACATCAGCAGCTAACGTTTACAGTAGTTGTTCGTTTATCCCCCGCGCACATCTCGAGTCAAGTTCAGTAATGGTCAGTTGCTATGGGTACGAGATATAACGTCATACATAGCAAGTGGTCAAGCCATTTGTGAGTGAAAATACACGTTTTTTCAACTTCTTTCAACAATAAAAGCAAATCCTGTTCCTAAAATCATGCAAAGTGCTTACTTCTGTGTTAAGCACAAAAAACCACCATTTCTCGCGCTTTTAACCTGATTTCTAATTCTTGATAAAATTCAAGATGGTGACCATTGTTGGTCACGCCACAAGCCTCCAGCAGTGGTCACAGTGCCACCACCCATAAAATGTACCTCATCTTGTTAAGAAGATCGAAGGCTTTCCACTGAAGGTAATTCAAATAGTTTCAAAATACTGCAACATATCAAAAACTCTGGGAGGGGATGCTCAATCCCCCCCTTGGACCACGGTGAGGGTATGAATTTGCGTGTACGTCCGAGGGTTAAGAAACTATTAATAAAACAACCGATCATCTAGCTGGGCTACGTTTCTAGCTGCATAACTCTCTACTCAAGTTTGAACTTAAAGCCCTTGCTGCTTTAATTCCTCAGTTGCACATACTAGTTTAACTTCAGTTAAAAACTCCATACCTAGACAAAACGATTGATGATACCGAGTCTGGATGAAGCAGAAGTTTGAACAGCAAAGAAACTATACAAAACGAGACTAAACTACCACTGATAAGTCAATAGGTAATCAAAAGTCTTTATGAGTCATGAATCTGGAAGAAAATTCTTGTAGGAATCTTGAATCATTGAGGCAAAAACGACAGGAATCAGGAATATCAAGATTCAAATGATTCTGCATCAACCTCCGAGACATCAGAAGAGTTGTTCGCTATTTCAATTGACAGACTGCCTGCAAAAACTTTATATGTAGTGTTTCTAAGGCATGTTAATCAGTACACGGAGTTTTCGTGTTGAATTCTCTGCCCTGAGAAAACGATTTTTCAAAGAAGAACACTTGCATGCATGCCTTAACTAACGTCACGAGGGCCTATCAAATTGTTCTTTCGCTTGGATGACAAATTGCGTCTTCCTGTTTATCAGCAAAGTCCTTGGAACTTGCTGTATCATCAAAAGTTAAACTAAGACTAAAAGTTAGAAAGTTGAAGTTCCTTCCTTAAATGTATGCAGATAGTTTGGTTTCTCTAGAATAGAAAGAGCTGTGCCTACACAAATTTTTGCATAGTTTCACTTGTTTTATGTAGCCTTTATATTTTAAGCAGTGTAATCATTTTTTAGAGCAATAATGACCAATAAACAACGGATTAATTGAGGTGGCGCCGGGGCCCACTAGCAGCTAAGATGGCGATAAGAAGCTACCTTTTATAAAAGGCTTCTGTACATACATAAGTGCATCGGTTTGCAAAGTTCCCTGTGACCGAAACCTCGTTAATTAAAGGAATTATCAAATCTTTCTATTTAGCAGAAGTGCAATTCTTTAAACCGACCTACCCTTTGTCAAATGGTTTACTTTAGTAAACAGTACTGTACACTTGGATTCTCTTTTTCCTTTTCCTTTTTTTTAATTCAGACGGAAGTAAAAGAAATAAATTATTGTAACAGTAGTTATTTCATGCTGTCTCCTTGTATATTCCACTGCTTCCACCCGCAACAGAAAAACAGATGTATCA